GTCAAACATCCTTTAGCTATTTTTGACCCACAGTCGATCTATACAATGACTTGTTAAATAGAATAATGAGATTTGTAGTTCATGATACCTGAAAGGTTGCAGGTTGCCTTCTTACTCTCTATAGATTTAATGGGTAAGCAAAGACTTTTACTGTAAATGTGTACCATTATCAAAATGTGAGCTAGCTATAGCTATTGTATTTGCCTGGGTATCTGTGTTATCGAAGAGTTTGATGTTTACCTTGCAAACAAATAATATTTTTCACTCTTGACTAAATTCTGAAACGATGATCTTGTAACACAATGCATCAAACTATGTCTGGGTCATTTTTGTGTATCTTGGCTGATGTAAAGGGAAAGGAGAAATAGCATTGCATGGGTTACGTTCATTGATCTCATCATATGCAAAAATCAATGAAAGGAGTAGGACACAAAGGAACAAATGGTAAGTGTTCCACAGGTGGGATTCACCTACCTTCCCTACCGGTTTGCAAATGGGAGTGCACTTGCCTCATCTGCGCATGCACGCTGCCTTCTGCGCATGTGCAGTGCTCATGCTTTACATCGGGGTGGGTAGGCGGAACCTCCTGCAGCCGCCGCTACTGGTACATCTGAGCCGGAGAGAACCAGTTGAATGCCAGCTCTGAAGTGTTCTATTTCTACACTGTACTCAGAAGCAGTCCTTGGAGCTAACAGTCATGTTGGCAGGGTATGTTTTTGCTGTTTAATAATTGTAAGGAGAAAATAAAGACGAGGTTTGAAAAACAAAATTAGTGAAAAAGACATTTATTGAGATTTTGAAAAATACTCCCTAGGATTTCAGCACTTCACAGTTACACCATTTCAGTTCGAAAGTTCATATTTGGAAGATTAACCATTGATTAATCAACTCTTAACACAGAAGTACTGCATTTTGGCTTTTTTTTTTTTCTGTAGAAATAGAAGCTCTTCTTTGTAAGCTGAAATTTACATTCTTTTTAAACTTCATTCTCATAACAAAGTGCTTTTTCAAAAGTAATGTTCTGTCTTGATTTGTTATTCTAAGTGAGCTTAGGATGAGATGTTGATGTTTTAGCTAAAGTGCAATTCGGGCACAATAATGTTTTAACTTGCAAGGAAGGATGCCTTTATTGAGTTGGTAGAACTCCACAAGTTGAATAAGATCAGAGAATCTGGTGTGACCATCATCCAGTGTGTAAAAGAGCTTGCCTTCCTCTTCTAACTGCAAAAGGGGGAGAGAGAAAATACACAATCTGTACCATGTACAGTCAACAAGCAATTAACAGACTACTATGATGGATACATCTGGCAGCAGCTTCTTGGGTTTTATGAATAAAAACATTTCTCTTTCCTGTGTGAGTTTTATTTACCCATCATACCTCAAGAAACAAGTTATGTGAAATATGAACTATATCTTCTAAGATACAGAGCACCCAGGAAGAAAAAGTTAGAATGATGGTCCCATATATAGGCTTATTGGGATAGTTGGGACACGGAAGTCATAAAGAGAAGTTGATATCCCAAATAAGAAAGTAATTTTCATGGGAAAGAAGGTTTTTGGTTTGGAAACTTCTCTTTCATAGAAAAGTGAAAAACCATGGGATTTGGTTCTTGTAAACAGAACATCAAAATATTTTGATTCAGGACCTTCATAGCTATACTTACCGGCACAATTTGGAAGTGCTTTATTTTTAATCCATGGCTTAATGACAACACAAAAGTTTTGGGATTGCTTTGACTATCCCGTACCAAGAAAACTCTGTGGAAAAAAAGAAAATATGGTCAAGTATATTAATCTATGGTAGCAAAATATGAAATTATGTCCGTAAATAATGACTTTGTGGTGCTAGCAAAGAAATTTATTTTTAGATTTTTTTTAAAATCCCACCTTTATTATTTTTATAAATAACTAAAGGAGGTGAATATACCTTATATTCATTCCACTTCCTATTTTCCTCAGAAAAAAATGTTTCTTAGTATATTTTATTTTATCTCTTTGTTTTTTTAAGTGAACATAATTAACATTAATTGCTATATTCCATTTGTCACAGCATCCATAATAAAGTTAAGCAGGTCCACACCAGAAAAAAAAAGAAATTTGCCAAGTGAGTTAAGATATGGAGGTATATGGAGGTCCATTGTACTATGGACAAAGAGGAAATAAAAATGTGACAAATACTGCACATCTTATATACTATTGTACCCACATGAAGCTTAAAATAGATAATAAAAAGTCCCCAAATGAACATAACTGACATCTGTAAAAGCTAGCAATGTTATCAACAGCAAACAGCAAAAAGATCTCTACACATTTTCTAATAAATGACGACACTAAGACAAGGGTACCCATTTTCTCTTATTGTTTGTATTTGCTTTAAAAATCTTTGTGGACGAGATTCAACATACTGGACATTAAAATTCAAGGACAGAAATAAGAACTGAAACGTTATGTTGACACGTGACCGGTCAAAAGCGCGTTCCACAAAAGCGCGGTCGACGAAATCGCGTATGTGACATCATCACAACGCGACGAAAAAGA